ATGGGCACCTAGCAGCTATAACTTAGCTATGGTGAATAGTGCTGTAAATAAACATGGATATGCAGCACACACTCTATTGTATGCTGACTTTGATTCCTTTGGGTAAATGCCCAGAATGGTATAGCAGGATCATATAGTAGCTCTATTTTTAGTTTTTTGAGGAACCTCTATATGGGTTCCTTCCCCTACCACCACTACCCAGCATCCTCGGCAGCATCTGCTGTTTCTTTGTGAAGCCATTCTGACTAAGGTGAAAAGGAATCTTAATGTTGTCTTGATTTGCATTTCCTTTACAGATAAGGATATGGAACATTTCTTCATGTGCTTTTGGCCATTTGTATTTCTTTTCAAAATTGTGTTTAACTGATTTGCCATTTATTTATTGGGTTATTTACTCTTTCTGTGTTTAATTTTCTGTGAGCTTTACAAAATCAATTCAAAATGGATCAAAGACCTTAATATAAGATCTGAAAGTGAAACTACTAGAGAAAAAAGTAGGGACCACTTCAAGATACAGGCAACTATTTCCTGAATAGGATTCAAATAGCTCTGAAAATAAGAGCAAGGACTGACAAATGGGATTGCATCAAATTTAAAAGCTTCCGCACATCAAAACAAGCAATTATGAGTGATGAGACAGCATACAGATGGAAGAAAAAATTTTGCAGGCCATTCACTTGACAAAGGATTAATACCCAAAGTACTTTTGTCTCTGGGCACATTCCCTTGGGAGAGCAAGATCCAGTGACTATATATTTTGATGCATTTTCTCTGACTAGGGAAGAATCAAGACATTGGCTCCTTTGGCATTTCTTCAACCCCAGTATGTACTTAATTCATTCAGTAGACATTGATTAAAATTCTGTATGCTATGTACCACTGTAAGAAGTCAGAGGTAAGAGACAGCGTGTCATGTCTAAGAGGAACATTAGCTCAATGATAACTTGGGGGATGAATGAGGTGAGAAAAAAATAAGCTTTCATAGTAATTCAAGAAAAATGATTAGATCTAAACAGTAATTTTTTTAAAGGCACAGATCAGAAGACCTCCATGAGCTATATCAAGTAGATCCTGCAGAATTAGGTGGCCACAGTCTACCGCAGAAAAAGCAGGGTCCAGATCCATTCAGTTTTCTTCTGTGTCCAAGAATGCTGCCAATGAGGAGCTGATTTTTGGAAGGAAATTCCTTATTTTTGAGGTGCCTGGGGACATGCATATGAAGGAACAGAACATAGTAAGTACCATTTACCTCAGACCTGGGGAAACATCTAGGTTGTACTGTCACCAGCATTTATATGGTAACTATAGTCAGGTGCCGGTGGCTCACACCTGTAATCCTAGCTACTTGGGAGGCAAAGATCAGGATGATCATGGTTTGAAGCCAGCCCTGGCAAACTGTCCATGAGACCCTATCTCAAAAATACCCAACATAAAAAGGTCTGGCAGAATGGCTCAAGTGGTAAAATGCCTGCCTAGCAAGCATGAGGCTTGGAATTCAAACCCCATTACCACCACGGGTGGTGTAATTATAGCCACAGATATGGATGAGGCATCCAAGAAATTCTGGAAACCAGAATAAGAACTGAGCCCTAAGGAACCTCAACATCCAAGGAGCAGATACATACTCAGAGAAGAGACCTTAGGAGAAAAGAAATACCAGCAAGGAGGAAGAGCACAGAAGTGGTCATTGATGCAGGGCCAGTGAATATAGCTGTACCTATTTTTTCACTGCACAAAATTGCGGAGCATCACTCACAAGACCTATGCTAATGGACTCCCACAATCACAGAAGTACACAGTGCACAACCTGCACAACCAGATGTGGCACAACTGCTCCTGGATCAAACGCCAGTTAAGTCAAGATCAGAAATTAAAGTACCTCAAAATGAACACAAAGACCAATGGAACAGAAGACTCAGACACAAATTCATGAAGGTACAGCCATTTTGATCTTTGACAAAGAAGTCCAAATATATGTTGAAGAAAGACCAGCCTCTTCAATAAATGGTGCTCAAAAAACTGGATATCCACATGGATAAAAAAAACGAAAACTGGATATCCATATGTAGAAGACTGAAACCAGGTCCCTGTCTCTCACCCTGCACTAATAAAAATTCAAAGTGGATCAAGATCTTAATCTAAGACATGAAACTACTGCAGAAAAAATAGGAAAACACTGGAATTTATGAGCATAAGCACTAACTTCATGAATAGAACTTCAATAGCTCAGCGATTAAGAGAAAGGATTGACAAATGAGACTGCATCAAACTAAAAGGCTTCTGCACAGCAAAGGAAGCAGTCACTAGACTGAAGAGACAGCCCACAGAATGGGAGAAAATCTTTGCCAGCTACAATCTGACAATGGATTAAAAGCCAAAATTTATAGGAAGTTCAAAAATCTAAATTCCCAAAGAACTAACAACCTAATGAATGGGCAAATGAACTGAACAGAAAATTCTCAAAAGAAGTATAAATAGCCAATAAATACATGAAGAGATGTTCAACATCCACAGCCATAAATAAAAATGCAAATCAAACAACACGTGATTTCACCTCACTCCAGTCAGAATAGAACATCAAGAACAACAAGATCAACATCAGTCATCAAGAACACGGACAACAAATGTTGGCAAGAATGTGGGGGAAAGAAACCCTTATACCTTATTGAGGGGGATGTAAATTAGTGCAACCACTATGGAAAGCAACATGGAGTCTCCTTAAAAAACTAAAATAGAACTGCCACAGGATCCAGCTATACCACTCCTGGGCATATAGCCAAAGGAATGTATGTCAGGATACAATAGAGACACTTGCACACCCATGTTTACTGAAGCACTATTTATACAATAGCCAAGCTACGGAAACAGCCCAGATGCCCTACAAATGATGGATTAAGAAAATGTATACACACACACATATACACACACAATGGAGCATTACCCATTTATGAAAAAGTATTCAGTTATACTGCTTTCAGGTAAATGCATGGAACTGGAAATCATCACCATGTTGAGCAAAGTAAGCTAGGTTCGTAGGAGAAACGTCTCGTTTTCCCTCATACGTAGAAGCAAACCTAAAAGATAAATATATACATAATACACACGTGATCCTACATACATAGAGAACATGTTTGTAACAGTGGAACTGTTCAAGGGGACTGCGGGAGGTGGAAGAGGAAAAGAGAATGATAGTGAGTAATATCAAAACACGTTGCATCTGTGTGTAAAGATGGCATAAAGAAATGCATAGAATGTTGTCGAATAAGGGAGTACGGGTATAGAGAAAAACAGAGAAATCTAATTAAAGTACAATATATGCAGGTGTGAGACACCATGGCAAAACCCCTTTGAACAATTAATATACTCTTTAAAAAGTGAAGGACAGGAATGTAACACAGGTTTGGCACTGGGTACCAGTGGCGGGGGGCAGGTAGAGTAAATGGAGAGGAAGAAGGAGGATGAATATGATTGATGTATTTTGTAAACTTCTATGAAAATAAGACTGCCTGAAATTGTTTTAAGGAGAGGGAGGAAAAGGGAGAGTGATGGGAGGGGGGTTAAATCTAATCCAGGTATATTGTAAGCACATATCAAAATGTCACAGTGAAACTCCCCTGTATAACTAATTCATGCTAATAAAAAAAGTCTATAAAGAAAGAAATGTACCTGCTCATTGGCAGTATGTGAAGTCACTGGTGAGCTTAGCAAAGCACTCTGAGTAGTATGGTGAGTGCAGAAGTCAACGGCTGAATGTCACTCAACCAGTTGAGCAAAGGCCGTGAGCTGCCCACTCCCTATAGAAGCTTACCTGTGAGAGACAGAGAGACTACGGTCCTGGAATGCCATCATTCCCTATACTGTGTATCCACACCAGCCTTTTTTACTGCTGGAGTACACAGAACTTTGAATCTCAGGTGCGGGCCTCTGCATTTACTCCCCAGGACCTGGGCAGCTCTTCCACCAGAACTCCTCACAGCTGGCTGGTCCCACAGGTCACCTCATGAGAAAGGCCTTTCCTGACCACCCCAATGCTGCCTCCACCTACCATCCTGCCATTTTGATTTCTTCACAGCACCTACAGCTGAATCTTCTTATTGTGTATTCCCTTCTCTAACTAGAATGTAAGTCTTGAGACAAGGGACATTATCCTGTGCCTGCAACAGTGCTTCCTTGATAGCACAGTCTCTCTCTCTCTCTCTCTCTGCTCTCTCTCTCACCCCCCTTTCCTCCCCCTCCCTTTCACTAGGTAGGTACTCTACCACTTGAGCCATGTCCTTATAAATATGATAGCTAAATATTTCACTGTCTGGATAATTTACTGAAACATTTCTCTTTTATACGTCTTTTTTTATTCTACCATAGTCAAGGACATCTATCTCCAAATATAATTTTTTTTTTTGGTGGTACTGGGGTTTGAATTCAGGGCCTCACACTTGTTAGGCAGCTGCTCTGCCACTTGAGTCACTCCACCAGCCCTGTTTTGTGTTGGATACTTTCAAGATAAGGTCTCATGAACCATTTGCCTGGGTTGGCTTTGGAACATGATCCTCCTGATTTCTGCCTCCTGAGTGGGTAGGATTAGAGATGTAAGCTACCAGAGCCCAGCTAGATTTCATTTTTTTCCTTCCCTCAGAATAGATTCCCATCTTGATATAGTTATTAACACAACTCCTGATAAGACCAGGCAGAGCCAGATGAAAACATTTAGACCCTAAAAATTCTTCCCTCATAATAATACATACCATGTTTTCCTTTATAGTGGTAACACTAATGTAAAACTTGAAACATTCATTTCTTTTGCAAACCAGACACTGTAAACACAGTGGCATTGTCCATCTTCTCCATAGTACCTAATGCTCAAGAATACTGGAAAGATGGATGGATATGCAATGTACCCAGTAAGGATTTGGAAGACAGAGAAGAGAAAAACTGTTGGACACCAATCCTCCAAACACCAACCCACCTCCCGCTACCCCTCCTTCATGACCATCAGTAGGAACTCATACCCACATCAGTTCCATTTATTCTTCATACAAATATCTTACAGTTTTATTTTTAAATCATATACACATATTCATACAAAGAAAAATAAATTTCAGGATGGAACTTTAGGACCATGGTAGTTTAAAAAAAAAAAATCTCTGTGATCATTAGCTACTGAAGACAAGGCAAGAGGCTTAGCAGTCATTTCTGGGAGCGAGTGTGTTTCCCCATGCAGAGGACAGTGGAAAAGAATCCAGTTGCTCCCTTGGCTTCCTTCAATCTTCACCATGTGTTGGTAACACAGGGGAAAGGGATTTCTCAACACTCTCCCCTAGAAACATTTCAAGAAGTACAGCAAAGGCTTAAGGTAACACTGAACCCCCTCTTTGCTAGGAATTTGGCAAAATTGCAATTTCTGAACAACTTGCTATAAGAATTAGGTCAATTGCCCCTCACAAATCTGAGAGGAAGAGGGCCTACTGCACACACCACACCCCTCTGTCCATCCAGCAAAGGCCCCAGGACAGAGTTTTTGATCTAGCCCCTCCAGGTTCATTCCACAAATGAGTTCCCTCCTATCCCATGCCCAAACTCCCTGGATGCCCTTGCAGAACCCACCACAGTGGCACTACATTCCTGCCTCAGTGTTACACTCAAAGGGAATCAGAGCTCACTGCCAAGAGCAGTCCAAGAGTGACAGAACTACAAGCACCCCTACCAAACTCAGCTCTGCAGAGCCAAATCAACATTTCAATCAAACAGGCCAACTGCTAACACATCCATAGGAGAAAGAGCCTTCGTTAGAGATGCTCAGGAGAACCTCCTACACACAACTGTCCAATGAAGCTGGACTAATCAATTCCCAGTAAAAGTGGGGAAAGGACAGACATTACAGATGTGGTAGACCCTATCAGAAATGGTAGCTGATGACAACAGTTACCCCATACCATTGGGTCTACCTAAAAAGCAGCACCAAGAAAGGGCATGATGAGCAGAGAGATCTGTAGTTGATGTACAGCCCTTGAATTACCAAGGGACACAGGCAACAGCTCATTCCCTACAATTATGTAGGACTAGAACACAGAATATCCACTCCTAGATCAAGGCAGCGCCTTAGAAGCCATACCGCTTGTGGTCATCAGCCCAACCCCTTGGCAGACCCGTTGGGAGAGAGGGAGTCACCCCCAAAGCAGGGACCTCTCCAGGCAGACACTCACAGGGCAGCCCATCCCACTGTCACTGGGGCAGGCCAAACATAGCTAGAAGAGCAGACAGATCCCGAGCATCAGCAGCCCCATAAGCATCACTCTGCCCTAACATAGACAATGCCAAACGCAGAGTACTCCAGATGTTCTCTGACATGGCGCCCCCCTCCCCCCGGGGGCCCCGGCTCTTCCTCTGCATGTTCAGGGCCTCCAGAAAGTGTTCCACAGCCTCCCTGTTGGAAGAGGAAGAATGAGAGCTGGTGAGAAGCACAACAATAAGGAGAGGCAGGTCAGCTGGAACGAGGAAGGAGGTGGTGGTGGGGAGGGGATTTGCCAGATGACAGGATCAGAGGATTAGGAGCTAGGACCAAAGGCAAGGAAAAAAGTTCATTCACTCACAACACAACAGACACTCACCGGTGAGCACCAAGGTTGATGCAGCTGATGCCCAGGTTATAGCGAGACCGGATATAGCCAGGCTGCAGCTCAAGGGCCCTACGGTACGCAGCCACTGCTTCTTCACTCTGGTTCCCATTGGCCAGGGTGGCCCCCAGCTTATTCCACAGCAAATAGTCCTGGGGTATAGATGGAAAAGGACTGCGAACATGAACTAGGCCCAGGTCAACCTCTGCTCGTTCCTCCCTCAGCTTCACTACTCTCTGTGGCTATTGTGTGTTACTAATCCATTCTATTCTCCTCTACAGCAACTGGTGTGACCACAACATAACCCCTCTCACCCCATGAAATTTGCCTATTTCGAGACGACCTTGTACTCCCAAGCCCTCCTAAGGCAGTCAGTGCCTTAACAATGGGACAAAGTATCCCATACACAAGTAATTCTTCCACAAGGTAGGGTCACGTCCCATTTCCATTCCTTCCCTGAGGCTCACATTGGGACGAACACTGAGGGCAGCAGTGAAACAGTCCACGGCCTTGTCATACTCCCCACTCAGGTTGAAGAGGACTCCCAGGCCACACTGCACATCAGGGTCAATGGATGTGGGGTCCAGGCGTACAGCTTCCAGGAAAAGCTCTTTCACTTCAAGAAACAGAGAGCTAGGTAAAGAGGAAAAAGCACACAAAAAGTAGGTAGATGAATGTATCTATATTCCTTCCCCCAAAATAAAAAAAGCCAAATCATATCCCCAAGATTCGTATCAGTCATCTCCCCACCGCCACCCCTGACACAAATTCCCATTTAGAAACATTTTTTTCTATTTCATCCCAGCGCTCCACTGCAGAATACAGACCTTCAAGTTAACTGTGTTTCCCACTCTACTCTTAGGCTCTGGGTCTCAAACTATCCAACTTCCAAAATCAAAGTCATGCTCCTACTACTTAAGTTAACATTCCTCATCTCAGGAACTCCTTATACTCACTCAGACAACAGAGATCCCAGGATTCGCTTGCTGGGGCCCAGTCCTGCCCCACCAGCCCCTTCTTCACCAGGTGCCACCAGATGGGCATAAGCTGGTGAGTAGCGCAGCCAGTCTCGCAGGGTTTCACAGGCCTGTCGCTGCAGGGACTCATTGGTAAAGCTCACAGCTAGCGCCATCAGTGCTGTCCGGTTATCTGGCTTTAGCTCCAGGCACCTGTTTGGACAAGGAGGAGCACAACTGGTATCTGCAACGATGCAGCACCCATCAGCACCAGGACCCAAGCCAAGCTTTGAAGTTCAATCATGATGGCCTCACTTCTCCCACCCTCCCAGAGTAAGACAGAGAAGAATCCTTGCATGTGACTTAGGAACAAAGTTTCAGATCCAAGAAGGGGAAAGTTTTAGCAGCCAAGGAACCACCAGGATCCCACAAATAAAATCAAAAGCTGATCAAGGAATAGAACAAGTTCTCAACTCACTTCAAACCTCATAGTCTCATCATGAGAAGACACATCCGTTATAAAAGACGAGGATCTGGTTCTGGACCCGTCAGGCTAAAGGCTATGTGCAGAGCCCTAGATCCACCAGCCCTCACCTCTCAGAACACTCACCTCCGCAGCGCACTGATGGCCAATAGCTCTTGCTCATTCTCAGCCTGGGTCGTGCCCAAATACTGCCAAGCCTAGAGGGAAGGCCACAGATTCCATCATCCCGTGGTCACCTTCCATCCTCTGTCCTCTGGCTTCCCCCACTCACCATCTCACGCCACCCCAGCCCAGACCACAACTCAGGCCCTATTCCCTCTGCAACAGAGGAAGCAATCAAAATGAGCCACTTACTTCCATGTGCTTAGGATCCTGCTGCACAGCCGCCTCAAAAAGCAGCACAGCATTTGGCAGGTCCCCCTCCTGAAGTCGCTGCAGGCCTTCTTCAAAAGGCTGAGGATGATCACGCAGAGGATTCTCCTCCTCAAACTGGTATCCCTACAAAGAAGGGAAACAAGTGGGAAGCTATCTAAGAGGGAGCTATCAGTCAGAGCAGCAGGGACAGAAGGACAACAGCAAAGAGAGAGGTGGAGAAGTTGAAGACTTTCCATGCGGATATCTGAATTAAATGAGGGCAAATTCTCCACATTTTAAAGGCTATCTACACCTAAGTAGAATCATTCAATATCAGACTCAAGCTGCCATTTCCTGTTTCCAATAACTGGAAGGTTAGGTGGGTCAACAAACTCTGATCCATGCTGGAAGTGAACTTATTTTAGGAAGTCTTCATAGGCCTGCATCTCCATACCTTTGATAGTTCTTACTATCCTTTAAGGAAATACAGTCTAAAGTCAGAGGTCCTGCCATTCAAAATGCAATTCTTACCCAGCACACAGGGTCATTGTGTGCACTCACTGAATAACACTTGAAAATGTCAATTTATTCCCTAGTTTCACCCTCAATGATTATGAATATTAATCTGTATCTAAATCATAGGTGAAAGCTGGGTCTCCAAATCTGGATGGCAAAGTGTATTTCTATAAGACACTGCTCTCTGCTAGCTGAGGATTTCTCATTTGAGTAGACAGTTATATGCTACTTACAAAACTGAATCAATTGGCATTTTATGTTAAGTAGGGAGGTAAGAAAGTAAGATGGAAATCTAGTAAGCTGTCTGACTTGAGACAAGCAAATAAAATACACTTTCTGGAGAAGTAAATCGTTACCATCTAGGCCTTGATATTTATCTTCCTGAGGTCTCATCACTGTTGACCCAAAATACATTTTCAAAATTTAAATACTGGCATGGAGGGAAAGAAAGTGCTCTGAAGGAACCCTTAACAACACACAGCATACACAGTAAGCTTGGCATCACTGTCGTATCCTAAAAGGTCAAACCAAGTCATCATGTCTGATTCACTTTCTGCTTTGTTCTAAAACCTCACAAGACCACCCTACAGAAACAAGCTAACTACCAAGAGCCAATCCCATCATAGAAACTTCTGTTTTTGGTAATAGTATATAGCATTTGCTTGAGCTATAGGTTTAAGTTGACTCTGAAAATCTACAGGCTATCAATAAAAAAACAGTAACACAAACAGACCTATGAATTTATTGACAATGAAGAGTCATATATACATTTGTAAAGTATTATCAAAATATAATTCATTTTAACTAAAAGCCAGATAGAACTTGAATAGTTCTGTATTAGTGAATAATAAAATATAACTTTTTGTGGAACAGTAATGCAAGTGCTTCTAATCTTAATGTTGCAATAGCTCAAGGTATCAATGACATGAAACATGCTTCACAATCTAAAAACCTAACTATATTTCTTGTTTGTCTTGATATGAATCAGGCTAGCCCTAAACTCGCAATCCTCCTGCCTCAGCCTCCAAAGTGCGAGGATCCCAACTCTTTAATTATATTTTTAAGCTTTTAATTTAAAAATGTATTCTGAGGGCTGGATGCATGGCACAAGTGGTAGAGCACCTGCCTAACAGGCACAAGGCCCTAAATTCAAACCCCATACTGGAAAAAAAAAAGAAAAAATGATAAAGATGTATTCTGCCCAGCATGTCACAAATATGGGAGTAATAAAAACCAAGAGGAAATGTTGCTCCTACGAAATTAGTACTATCTACAGTTATCAAAAGCATGAAAATTTTTGTTTAAAATATGTAATTCGCAACTATAAGTTAATGGGGCCCATGCAACTTATCAAATTGTTAACACAGAATAATAAAACTATTACCCATAAATATGTCTTCTTTCTGTTCTTCCTTATCAGAATTTTATAGAAGGAACTCATATTTTGGCAAAATATAGGGCAAGGTCCCAAGAAGTAAACTCTCCTTTATTATATCACACAGGACAACTCTCAGAAAAACCAGGGGATCAGAGTATAACAATAAGCACAATCAAACTTTTCCTAGTTACTAAGCTTTCATTGGCCCTCAAACCCTAACCTTTTGAAAATTATCTTGAACTTCATTCTTCCCTGTCTTTGCCTAGCTCTCTTATTATGTCAAGACCTATTATCTCTACCATCTTGCTTTGCATGGCAGGCGCTGGTTCTAGCACCAGAACTTTTCCCCAACCACATCTGAAATGAGAAAAAGGTATTTCTCAGTTTCTGTTTTTTAAAACCGAACAATTCTTTCTCTCACCACCTCATACTTCAACTAAGGAGCTCAATTATTTGCCACATTTCCTAAATACCCTATAACCCACTAGCAGATTTGTTCCTTATAGTGAGACCTGTGAAGAAACCTAAGTCAAGAGCACAAGCTATCTGCAAAATTCAATCATCTTTTACCATTACTAAAATAATTCTTTGAAACCCTCAATTGGAGTAAGTGGTTGGTTCCTACAGGAAGATGAGAATGTAAATTAAGGACTAGAGATACAGCTCAGTAAAAGAACCCTTCTTAGCAAGCACAAGTCCCTGAGTTTGATCCCCAGAACCATGGGCGTAGGAGGGACAGGGACTGAACTTGTGAGCAAATACACATTAAAGTGTAGAGTCAGAGGGATAGTCTATCAACCACAGCTCCCTACCAAAGCAGTTAGCATCCAACCTCCAAAGCAGAACTACTTCACCTGTGCTTTTTTTTTCTGGTCTAAATGACAGTTTATTTAAAACAAAGGTGACAAAGCATAGGAAGAAGGAAGAACAACAATTCTAACATAAAAGCACATAGGAAGCATCTCAAATTAAAAACAAAAAGCAGAAGAAGGCAGTGAAGGAAGCAATATCTCACACATACACAAACTGCTGATTCACCTGTGCTCTTGACACATTATGTACAAACCTTCTCATGAGAATTATGTCCCCATATCATCACTATTTGACAAGAGTAATCTTATCAACCTTTTTATCTCAATGAAGTGTACATTTTACTGAAGGAGAGCAGGGGCAAAGGTATGATTCAGATTTCTTTTCACAGAAGGGGGCTCAGAAAATAATCCAAATTCAATACTTTTAAAGGAAGAAGGATAAAAGAAGGAAATTCTGAAACCTGGAAAACAGGGGTTCCTACCTTATCATAAGAGGAAGATGTGAGGTCATCGTAGTCAGAAAGCCAGGGGTGAGCCTCAGCATCCCGTTTTGCCATCTCCTCCAACTCTGCCTGCAACTTGTCCCAGAAATCGACATCAGACTGTAAGGAAGGGAAGGCAGATAGAGAAAGGAGATGCTTCTACAACAGATGGAGCAGCACTAGTCACAATAGCCAAGTTAGGGAATCAGCCTAGGTGCCCATCACCAGATGAACAGATAAATAAAATGTATACCACATGTAACAATGAAGTTTTGCTCAGCCATAAAGAAGAACAAAATTACATCATTTGCAGGAAAATAGACGGAACCAGAGATCATCATGTTAAGCAAAATAAGCCAGACTCAGAAAGACAAATTCTTCTCTCATATGCTAAATCCAATTTAAAAAAAAAAAGGACTTGAGCATAAATGGGGAACTATTTGTGCAGAGGTGAGATCAGCAGGAGGGGGCAAGGAGGGAGGTGAGAATATGATTGAAGTACATTATATGTAGTACATATGAAAAGGTCATAATGAAACCCATAAAAGAAAATTATAACAAAGTTAAAAGTGGGGGGATGAATTAAGAAAGAATAACTGAGAGGGTAAATATGGTCAAAGTATATTATATGCATGTATGGAAACACTACAATGAAGCTCCTCACTTGTACAATAAATACGCACACAAAAAAAAAAAACCACTCTACACAGAAAACAAAAAGCAAAGAAAACGGAGAAGCTTCATGACCACCCTCAGCCTTCAGTTCCATTGCAATGCATTCCCTGGATGCTAATTCTTAAATTCAGTATGTTCAGGAACCATCTGAAGGGCTTTTGTAAACTGCAGGTTCCAGGACCCTACCCTCAGATTCTGATGCAGTGATCTAAAGAGATGTCTGGGAATCTATTTTTGAAAAGCACCCACCCTATGCCTGTACAATTCTGAACAGATGATCCAAGCACACCATGAAACACCATATTCATCACCTTTGATATTAATATACCCACTCTCTCCATGGGAACCCTTAATTTTGGGTTGCCCACTCCTATACTATATGCTCTCACCTCTATAGCTGACTTGGCTCGTTCAAACTCCATATCCAGGGCAGATGTGTTGTTTACTGGTCTCGTGAACTGATCAACCCAGGCATCTGATGTGTCCTGTGACAAAGAAGGAAGGTCAGTACCACTTTTACCAACTCTCTTCCTACTAACATAGACTAAATCCCACTAAATACCACCAACCTGGACATTCTGAGAACATTCTGAGAATCCTTCCCACCCCTCAGGACCTGCATGATACCAAGACAAGCTAGCAATAAAATCCCTTCCCCATCTGGGGCCACCAAATACTAAATCCAAGGCCTGGACACCAGCTGGCTCTCAAGTGGGACTGGGAGGTGACAATGTCCTACCTGCTGCTGTATAAACTCTGCTGCCCACTGTTCTGCCTGAGCTCGGCCCGACCCTGCAACGGACTCCAGGGACACCTGCCCCTCGCCAATCTGCCGCACGAATTTCAGGAACTGGGGCACAGAGACACACATAGGCACCTTGGGAGAGGACCTTCAGGTGTGCACTCTCAACCACGCCCAGGAGGACCCTGCGCTCACCCCTCCCCCTGACCACTTCTGGCTGCAGTCAAGATATGCTAAAGGCCCTGAAAAAAGCAGAGAGCAAAAACAAAGGGATTTCTGCCTTTAAAGATATGAAAAAACACCAGAAAAGAGAATGGGTTAGCAGGCAAGGAAATGAGGAAAAGAATATTGGAAGGAAAAAGCAAGATCCTAAGTCTCTGTTCTCCAAAGGGGAAGGAATAGACTCAGGATCTCATCTCCTTCCTTAAAGTAAAGTGGGGTAAAGAAAGCAAGACTCTTGCCTTTCAAGAATAGAGCAACTGGGGGATGTGACTCACCTCAGAGTTAGCCAACTTGGGGTCATCCACCTTGGCCACAAAGTCACTGGCCGTGTGCTGCAGATCCTCCTCAGGATGATATTCATCGTACCTGAACAGGTAAGGAAAACTAATTTTATAACCCACTCAGCCACCACCCTCCCCATGCTGTCCCCCAACCCCATCTCTTCGCAAGTATGGATACTATAGTGGGGGAGGGAGGAACCACAAGATAATGCTTTTCCACTCTGGTTGAGGAGCTACAAAATCCAGTTTAAGTTAAAGAAGGTATCTGGGCAGGAGTGGGAAAGTGCTAGCTATGTCCTTCTACTTCTCCCTTCCCCAAACACAGCTGTGCAGAAGGAAGGAATAGACAGTAGTAGGTTCAAAGGAGGACATAAGAAAGTCATGAACTCCCGGTGGAATAGTTAGGATTCTTGCCTATAAGTGAAATACAAATTCACAGGTGTAACAACGCAAGAGGACACGTTAATGAATAAGGTAGAAAAGAGGGAGTGCAAGCAGGTGAGAATGTGGATGGAGGAGGGAGATTGGAGAGGCTGGAGAAACTGTCCAGTAACATGCTCCTTCCACAGTGATCCACAAAGAGGACACTGGGACTCACCAGCGATCAGAGGTGGCTGTTCCCTCTGGCTCTCCCAGCCACAGCTTCTCCTCAGATTGTTCCAGATATTCTTCAGCCCAGCGGGCAGGGGACACTGACAAGGGGTCTACAAGAAGCAGAGTTGGGAAACTCAGCCAGGCTTCAATGTGGGAAAAGGGAAAGTAAAACAGACTCAACTAATCCTCTTAACCAAGCCAAAGCCAAAAAAAACCCTATTGACTCCTCAGAGAACCGGTCAAAAGAAAACACTACTAATTCTTCAACATCCTCTTCAATAGCTAACCCATTACCTCAGAGCCTGGCATGGAAGTTTATGGAAAAGTAGGAACAGGAGACCAAATAAGGAAGTTCAGAAAAAGTATTAAGAACCTAACTTAGCAGGCATAGTGGCATACACCTATAATCTCAACCTCTCATCCCAGCACGTGGGAGCTGAGGCAGGAAGATTTTGAGGTTGAGGCCTGACTGGTGTACATAGTGAGACCCCGTCTCAAAAAAAAAAAAAGTCCTTTTTTTTTTTTGCAGTACTAGTTTTTGAACTCTGGGCCTCATACTTGCTAGACAGGGGCTCTACCACTTGAGCCATTCTACCAGACCTTTTTGTGTAGAGTATTTTCAAGATAGGATTTCAAAAACTGAAATCCTAGAGCTGGCTTCCAATCTTATTCCTCCTGCTCTCTGCCTCTGGAGTAGCTAAGATACAGGTATGAGCCATCAGTGCCTGGTCAAATTCTTTTTCTTTAAGTACACACAGCCCAGTAAGAAATATCAAGTACCAGGAACCTGGCCTTCTCCACAGATACTGCAGGGACCAGTAAGAGCTAAAGAATAGAATAGTTCCTTTACCTTGGCCCATTCTCCTTATATTCAGAATCATGCCATCCCCACAAGGATCTGCTCTTCCTACTGGATGTTTGTGGGTTTTCTTCCATTTTTTTTTTAATGGAAATGTAATATATAAAGATACAAGTATAGAGCATGTGCTAAACTTGAGCTACTATCCAGAAGTCTCAAATGCTTGCAGCTACCTCACACAGGCTGTTCTGACTTGTTTTTGAGGGGGAGGGGAGGTTTCTTTGAGAGAGGGTCTTGCTGTATAGCCCAGACTGGCTTAAAGTTGGATGTTCCTGCCTCAGCCTCCCAAGTGCTGCCATCACAGGATATACCACCAGCCTGGCCTTTTGTGACTTTTGATTCACTTCAAGACACCATGTTTTTCAGTCTAATTCTAAAATTATCTTAGAAGCTCTAGAGACAAAGGGCACTGTGCAACATCAGAATAAACATTATCAAGGCAACAAACTGAATGAGGGTGCTGAGCTATTTATCAACTCCAGGACTTTGTCCTTCCATCCTGGAGCAAGAAAAAAAGCTATGAGACAGATCTTCCACTCTGCACCCACATCTTTGCAAGCCAGATACTGACACCGTCACCCAGTCTTAAAGTTTCCAGTTTGAAGATCAGACCGTCACCACTTTTAAGCCTGCAAGGGCATAACTATCCCCTCAGTTTTGCACAGCAAACTTCCCATTCCACTTTATCTGAGACTTTGTTGGAATAATTTCAATAAAGTGATCTCAAAATCTGAGAAAACAAGGTCAAAATCCGAAAAAACAAAGGATCAAGGGTCTCACAACACATACACCTAACTACAAATAAATAATATATAACCAACATAATAAAAAATATGGCTGATAATTGGTTTTGGACATGGACCCTATCTTTTCATTTCAAGGACTCTCAAAAACTATATCCAGTTCTTTTGCCCTAACTAGACTATTGACTCAAGTGCAGAGACCAAAAAAGACAAGCCTAATACCTAAACAGACTATATAACAACTCCCAGTTCCTTAGCCCCATTCTGCTGAAAACTAGTCCCTCCTCCTTATTCTCCAGTCCTTCTTTACTCTCTAGTGTCTTACAAAAGCATATTCTGGCCACAAGTGCTCCTCAAGTTCACAGGACATTGTCCTCTCAATGACAAGCAGCAACAGAAAACATTTAAGCACCTGAACTTCACAGCAGACACAAAGACACGTTTTAAAAAAAAAAAAAAAATCCCAGAGATAAGAAAAGTCAATCTGAAATTGCTCTAATTTAGGGCTGGGATGTAGTTCAGTGGTAGAGCATTTGCCTAGCATTGTATGAGGCTTTGGGTTCCATCCCCAATACAACAAGAAAAAAGTTGCCATTATTTGGCATTTGGTCATATTTGTTAGCCACAAGACCAGCATTTTCTAGCACCAGGAACCTGTTCCCAAAAAGAATCAAATAAAATAACCAAACAAATAACACTTGGCCTTCACAATCATTTTTGAGAAATTCAGATCCATTTGGACATGTCTGAAACTCAGTCAACTAAGGCCATGGATGGGAAGGGCCTTCCTAAATCACTACATGCGTAGAGTTAGAACCACAGCCTACAGGTCCAATTCATAATGCTCACCTCGTATGTCTCATTGTGCATTCACTCTGTCTAAACACGTCGACTCCAAACTCAGAAACCCAGAACTTCCTACCCTTATAAATGAAAGTTTCTGTGGAAAAGAATGTAGGTTCTAGAATCAGCCTATAGTCACCCATATTCAAATCCCAACTCTACCCCTTACTCATTGTGTGTCTTCAGACAAGTTACTGAACCTTTGAGTTTCCATTTCCATATCTATAAAACAGATAACAGATACCTCATGGGGTTTCTTGTGAAGACCAAAGCACACAGCAACACACAGCTATTACCTTTACTATTTGCTTTCAGAAAAACCATACAAGAAGTAGAAACCACCACAATGAGACTGTTATGCATTTTATTCCATAGCCTCTCCCTCCTCCACTCAAAGCAGATTTGTTGCCAATCATCTTCTGCTACTGCTATCCATAGCTTTTCTTATGAAAGTGCAGGTTTCTTTCTCACAATTACACCCATGAACCTACGTACCATGCCAACTGATGCTGTCTAAATTCAAAAGACCTGAGAGATGTGTTCTATCTCCAGCAAGCACAAGATGCAAAATTATTTGGCCAAAAGATTTAGGATTGTGGGGGGAGGATTCCATCAGGAAATATGATAGACTAAAAACTGAGTTTTGGGACAAGACAGAATAATTTGCACCTAGTTTGTGGTAGTACTGCACAAATCTACACATCTGGTAAAGTTGCATGAAACTTTTCAGACACATGCACTAACAAGGGCATGCAAAACTGGTAAACTCTAATAAACTCTGTGGAGTGTCCCAAAGGTAATTCTCTATTTTGATAACTGTATGTTATACAAAATGTTACTACGCGGGAAATTGGGTGAAGGGTACACGGAACTTCCCTGTACTTGTTTTTTAGTTTTGTTTGGTATTTTTTTGGGGGGGGGATAGTACTGAGGTTTGAACTCAGGGTCTTACCTTCGCTAGATAAGCACTCTAACACTTGCACCATACTTGCAGCCATTTTTTTTAGTCTCACACTTTTTTGCCTGGGGCCAGCCTCAGACATGATACTACCTCTGCCCCTTGCTAGATGAGATTACAAGAGTGTCTCACTAGGGTTTCACTAATTATTGCCTGGGGTTGCCACAAACCACAATCCTCTCATCTCTACCTCCCACATAGCTAGGATTACAGGCATGCACCACCAGCATGGCCCCAATACTTGTCTAAGTCTGTCTTATTTAGCTTAACCTGATTATCTCCAATTCCATCCATTTTCATGCAAATGACATAATTTCATTCTTCTTTATGGCTGTTTAATACTCCATTGTGTATATATACCACATAAAATAATTTATGTGGTAAATTAACTTTCTCTTGTCTCAAAATCTACTTATCCATAAAGCAATGGTTAACCTATATCAGTAATAGAATAATATCAGCCACAAATGCTATGAGAAAGGTAACAAAAATGAATTACTTAGAAAATCAACTTCCTTTAGTTTTTTTCTCCCAGATCTCAACTCATTCAATCATTACCATTCATTCACTTACTACATGCAAAGCAATGTAGTATTGCAGCAACACACTTATGAAGGCTGATTTCAAATAGCTCAGTTTCACTCAGTCCCTATGTCCCTGCCTCTGTGCAGCAGGCACAGGTCCAAAAGAATGTACAAGATAGAAGAAATTTCCAGAGGATGCAACAAGTTAGACAGGTCCAACGTGTTTTTCTAAAGCTGATTTTCACTTACACATTAAGATTTCACTGGCTGCAAGCATTTATCTAATTGTAACAAAATTCTCATCCATCTCAACCCTCATCAGAGCAATGACTTTTTTCTCAGTTATTGAAAATGACTGCATGTCCACACGTTGCAACAGAAATCTCTCTGAGCTAAGAAACAGCACTTAACTCTCAGGTTTGTATGAAACCTGAAAGTATCTGTCTGGCAGAGGGTTCATACTATAGCTCAGATTTTGACTCAGGAAATTCCACAGGGAAGATTCTCAATTTTAGAGTAATAGTTATTAAAATTATGGAGCCACTGGGCATGGTGAAATGCATCTGTAATCCCAGCTACTCAGGAGGCAGAGATCAGGAGGATAGGAAGTTAGAGGCCAGCCCAGGCAAAATGTTTTTTGAGATCCCATCTCAACCAACAAGGGCATGTTGACAGGGAAAGTTAGCATGCCTCTGTTATCCAACCTATTTGGGACGCATAAGTACACCAGCCCTGGGCAAAAATAACTAATTAACTAGAGCAAAAAAAAAAAAAAAGTGGCTCAAGTAGTAGTGTCTCCCTAGCAAGCATGAGGCCTTAAGTTCAAACCCCAGTACCACCCCGCCCCCCCACCAAAAAAAGCATGGCACCTAGAGACAAATATGCATGAGTTTGAACATCATTTATTACACGATTTTTTTATATTTTATAAATGTAGGGGCTTAGGATATAGCTCAGAGGTAGAGCGTGTGCTTAACATGCATGATTCCCTGGGTTTAATCTCCAACACCAAAGAAGAAGGATTAATAATAATAATAATGTGAAAAACACCTGTCATATGAAAGGCAAATCAGTTTAAGAATATGAAGTATCTGACCATTAATCTTCATTGCCCACTTCATTGGATTGGGAAGCGCCTAGGAGGTTAGCAAAGCACACCTCTGGGTGTGTCTGGGAGTGTGTT